CAGAATACCATGATTAAACAGACAAATATGAGCTGGTGTGTGCCGTTAAACGATATTCCTAATGACCGTGCAACAGGACCCAGATGAAGGAAGTCGCTTCTCTTTTACTTCATTGGTGTGCAGAAATGCACCACCCTGGTATTTAAACAGCAGAGCAGAATCCATAAGGTCCTTAAACTATCCCTATACAACAGAAGCCATGCCCTGCACTAAACCAATTGTCCCCTAACAATACAGGTTCCTCTACTTACCCACTCCCACACTGCAGGTTTCTAGACTGCCACACTAAATATAAGCTCAAAAGACTAGTATTTGACTGTAATACACAATAATACAGGAAAACAATATTGAGTTTTGGGCCAGGAAGGAGAGGCCAGTAAGTTGCAAACAGTTGCAAGACCAGTAAGTAAAGCAAACTGAAAGGTCCTCTCCTATCTACTAGACACTGGCAAGGCTCCAGTTCTGGAGTTGGCTCAGACCTGGAGAAGTTATCATTTTTGCACATTCAGTAAGCCTGAAGTTGGAGCAGGAGGGGAGGTCAAAGCAGAATAAAACATGGAGAAAAGATGATATTTAGCAGCTGAATCAGCTACTTCATATTATTGTCATATACTTAAAATAACATAGGTAATTTTTAACCACTTCCAATACTGATCACTTTCACCCCCTCCCTGCTCAGGCCAATTTTCAGCTTTTAGAGCTCTCACATTTTGAATGACAATTACATGATCGTGCAAAACTGTACCCATATGAACTTTTTTTATCAAATTTTTTTCCAACAAATAGAGATTTGGTGGCATTTAATCACCACTGAGTTTTTAAATTTTTTGCTAAATAAATAAAAAAAAGTGAAAAAAAACACATTTTTCTTGTTGTAAAGGTTTTCAAATAAATAATTGTTCATACATTTAGGCTAAAATATATATTCTGCTACATTTCTTTGGTGAAATTAACTCAAATCAGTGTTTATTATTTAGTCTGTAGAAAAGTTAGAGTCCACAAACTATGGGTGTATATATATATATATATATATATATATATATATATGAAAATTGATTTCCTAAATTTCAACTTTTTGGGGGGAATGAGTAACAAAGGGTAATATGTACTCTGTACTCATTCCCCTGATGGGGTCTGGATATATGGGAAACCCCTTATTTTAAAGAGGGCCTCTGAATTCCTAGTTAATCCTATAAATCCTCCCGACAAACCCCCACATCCATTTTGGGGACAGTGTTCTCACAATGTTGAAAACATGTTACCTGGTCTGGGGAGGGCATAGTTGCTTCCCCTCCTTTCCTGGCTACGCAGTCTGCATGCCTGGATCGGGGGAACCCCATATCATTTTTCCCTGTTTTTTCTTATTGTGCACCGTCCATTTTAAAAAGTGGTGTGCCCCTAGCATTGCATGGATTACATATGGGGTTCAGAGCTTTGTTTGAAGTCCAAGGACATCTCAGTGGGTTTGCAGAATCTCCTGTGAAACAAACTTTGCCCAGTTCACTCATCCTTGAAAAGTATGTGTCCATGGTCTGAAGCGATCCTGGAGCTAGAGCTCAACTGAGTTTGCTGTGGGTTAGGAACACAGCTAGCAGAGATTTTCAAAGAAGTTTGAAACAAAGGCATTCTGATTTATTCTTCAGAGCAAAACAAATGTACAACTCCTATTGTAGTGACAGAATGTGTTTTGTGCGCTTTTGAAATTTTGCCTAACATAGGTATGCATCAAAAGGTTTGAGTACTGTGGCAGTGCGGTGGTCCTGCCACGGTCAAAAAAAAGCTGAAAACCCTGGATTCTCAACCAGGCAGGTTGAGGGGCTCCAGAGAGTTAATGTATTGCAGAGGAAACTGACTTTTCGGTTTACTCATTTTTTCATTAAGTTTGTTTTGGGATCTGGAGCCTGGAGATTTCAAAGAGATCTGGGAGGGATGAAATCTCCAATCCGGGGTCCGTGTTTTGAGAACCCCAGCACACTGATTGCACAGGTGTGTGCAAGCCTTTTTTATAGAGTCCTAACCATAGTTCTGGGCTCCACCCCGGCAGACGGAGTCAGGAGGGCTCCACCCCCCCGGCAGACGGGAGGTCTCTGCCTTGGAGTCAGATGGAAGCCAGACTAGCTGTGTGCTAGTGACATATTTTGGGAAGAGTCTGCAGGAGGCAGACTTAAAACTGTGTACAAGCCAGGAGGCTGAAAAACTGTTAATTTGCTTGATGGTGGATACCCCTGCGTGGGAAGCATTTGTTACTTGAACTTTCTTAAATAAAAGTGGGCAAAAAAGCCCTTAAAGAAGCGAGTTGCTGTGTGCTTGGAAGAAGCTCTACCACTTGAAGTGAGTTCCCACATATGGTGGAGGATGCGGGCAGAACTAGAGATCCCAGCAAGGAAGTAAGTTCATGTGTTGAACTCTGTTTGATGCTTGACTCTGCACTATTGGTGTGTGCAGGTGAGGAGAATCCTGCAAGAGAAAAGGAACTTGCCTTAAAGAGACAGTGCTCCATTGTGTTTGCTGGACTGTGCAAAAGTGTTGTGGAGTGACTGCAAAGATGGGGCGGTCAAAACTCAAAAAAGAAGCAAGATTTTCTGAAATGAGAGACAGAGCCCTGTGGCTGGAGGGGTTGTTACCACCAGAACAAGCCCCCTACATGGCTGCACAGAGTTTGCCACAGTGGGAAGTGCATACTGTTGTCCCTGGGCACGCTGGTGAAGGGAAACCAGTTTTCTGTGTGCAGAGTACTAAGCCTGTAAAAGAGGATGCAGTGTTGGAAGTTCGGCCAAGATACTGCCGCAAGAGCGCTGTTTGCGGTGCAGTGAATGGGGGCACACTGTCTCCAAGTGCCCTTTATCCCAGCTTCCAGTGCAAGGTGACACAACCAGACAAAGGTCTGGGTATGCAAATGGGAAGCCTGCTTGGAGTTACAGGAAGGAGCAACAGGTTGCCCAAAAAGTTTCAGAAGAATGTGGTTGCCCATAGCAACACATGTGACCTCAGGCCTGCGGGACCTTGTGAGAGAAGTGTCGTCTGCAGAGGATTGTGGCAACGCAGAGATGAGAGTTCAGCGCATCTGGATTAACCCACAAATGTTCAGCTGGGAGAGTGCCATCTCCCATAGCAACAGGAGAAAGCCTGCCAACCAGGAGAAGGGGCTACAAGGGAGATGTGGTTCCTTATCCCAAAAGGTTATCTGTGAACCATACCCTGCCTGGAATGTGGTCAGTTTGGGCATGGTATCTTTACCTGCCCCAGATTATGGAATACCACTGATGAGGGTGCTACTGGGCCAAAAGTCTTCATCTGCAAGCCCAGATTCGTGGTTAAAAATGTTGGCAGCCACCTCTCAGCAACAGTGAGGAAGTTACCTGTTGTGCCAGCAGGGGGTTGCCAAGGAGTCCGAAGTGCCTGCCACAGTATCATCCTATAGCTGCATGGATGGAACTGGCTGGCCAAAGCCAAGCAGAGGAGATGACCGAAAGGATCCAGATCCCACGCACCTCAAGTGAAGGTGAAGCCTGTTACAGTGGTGGGTAAGACTGGTACTTTTGAGAAAAATGTGAGAGATACTAATGCACTGGAGATTGAGACTGACTTTGAGACTCTCTGCTATAAATTTGGGATACTCCCAGTTGGAAACCCACTGCTGGTGATTGTGAGAAAGAAAGACTTGCCTCTGTATAATGCTTTTTAGTGGGGAGGCAAACGATTAAAAATGCTTCAATGTGAAGAGTACTGATAATTTGGGGTTGCACCAATGTCATCTAAAGAGAATGCTTGAATTAATGTAGTAGGGGTGACCACTAAGCAGGATGTGTTATCTCCCTAGCAACGGTGGTTAAGGTAACCCAGGATAACTATGGTTGTTGCTCGGTGGTGGACAGAGTGTATCTGAATTGAGTGATGAGAATTTTATTTCAGTGTGGCAATGGTGTATCTAAAAAGGTATGTAACGTATTCATAATGATGATGGGATTTAACGCAATCCACTAATGCAAAAGTTTTTTAGTGAATGACACGCCACTAGGTCACGTGGTGAGAGTAGGAAATTGCAACCTGCTGTGCCTAGAAAAGGAGTCTCTCCAGTGTGTGATAGGGATAATGAAGATATAGGTAATGGGTCTGATACAGAGCCACTCTGTCCCTCTGTGTCTCCTTCAGCGGTTGGAGTGGTACACTGCGTTATACCTCTGATGGGATCACAGGGGATGATGGACTGGGACAGATGGGCAACAAGCTTGTTGGCATTAATAAAAGATACCTCTGTTGCCAACAATGAAGTGGACACAACTTCTGCTGTGCTGAATAGAGTGACTGTGGAGCAGCTATTAGTCCAGGGCGCTCCTGTCACTGCCAAAATTAACCCACCGCTGGTAAAAGGCACCGTTAAGGATAAACGCTCAGCAGAGGTTTTTGCCCACCAGCCCATAAAGGAGTTAATGGTGTAGTATACCAAATTGATATCCATAGAGAAGCCGTGGAAGAGCTCATTGACACTGAGCCTCAGAGTATTTGGGTGAATCCCACACCTGGTTACGCTCTGGGAGAGCCCCAGGTTATTGTATTGGGTACCTCCAGCCGAGAGGAAGCTCTTTAAGAACAACCAACTCTGAGGCATCAGTAAATGAGTGTCTCCATAGTCTCCAGGAAGGTCTTATGTGTGGAATCGGGCTGTCTTTTTATAACAGACCTGCTGAAGGAAATGTTAGCCTTCTGGAGTGTACAGCCGGTGTATACCTTGCTGTCTCTTCCATGTTCGGGAGAGCTGGTACAGTGGAGTCCCGCTAATAATCGGGAGCTTGGTATTACAGGCTATACAAAAACAAAGATGGTCAATATAGGAATTCTGTGATACCATTCCTTGTTGGCAATGGTGAAAATTGTCTTTCAGTGCATTGCTGGGTTGCTTCATAGCAGTAATCTGTATGAGAGGCACTCCAGAGTACTGCTGGACAGGACCGAGGTTTTGGCAGAAGTGCCGGAAAGACACATGTATATGTGATGTGGTTGGGGTCGTCTACCCAAATGTAGAATTATGTAAGGTTGGTTTGGCATCAGGACAGTTGCTGCCAGAGAGTCTTTTGTGACAGTGAAGTCGGTGGATAGTGATGTTTCCATGGGAGATGCCTACTCCACTGTGGGTGATTCCTCTCCAGAAAACTGCCTGCCAATTACTAGTGAAATGAGCTCTGACCAGAGTAATTTTGGTATTGATAAAAAGGGAAATGTATTGATGAATTTGGATTGTCTGATTACTATGTGTGATATCAAAAAGAATGGTAGACCTGGTGGTCAAGTTGACATGGTAGCTGGTCATCCTGAAAGAGGTAATGAGTGCTTAACAGACACAAGAGAGGTTAAGGAGTATAGTAATAGGCCCCCTACAGGTTCAGGAAGGTCACTCTGGAAAAGTTTTCCAAAGGTCCAGTAAACGCCCAATTTGTAAGAATGAAAGGTCTAAGGGAACTGGCCCAAAGCTTAACAAGGGGATGTTAATAGAGTTTGATGCCACAATAAAAGAGCCCATGTCTGTTACTAAAGGGTTTAAAAATATATCCCCTGTAAAATTAAATAAAGCAAAAAGGGCTGGTCTAATGGAAATAGAGGGAGCACGTTGTAACGTTTACAGGTACCTGGCACTTAAAGCTTAGGCATCGTAACCCCAGGGTACAAAGGGTACTGAGACTTGTAAACCCCCTGGTGGTTAAAAGGACTAGCATAGTCTTAAGGAAATTAGAAAGACCGCGATTTTGGAAGCACACTCGTATAAAAAAAGGCACGGGGATGTCGTAGAGCCCAAGTAAGGGGAGACAGGGGAGTCACCTCTTGGGGCAGGGAGTAGTGTCTCCCTTTGATGAAAACAAAGTCAGCCAGGATTGGACCTCTACAGGTGATAGCCCGCACAGAAGGTCTAAAGCAAGGGTTTTAGGTTTGTGTGTTCCGTCCCCCTACGGGGTCAAAACAAAGGGGGGATATGTGGGCAGTTGCGGGTGTCCTGCCACGGTCAAAAATAATGCTGAAAAAACCCTGGATTCTCAACCAGGCAGGTTGAGGGGGCTCCAGAGAGTTAATGTATTGCAGAGGAAACTGACTTTTCGGTTTACTCATTTTTTCATTAAGTTTGTTTTGGGATCTGGAGCCTGGAGATTTCAAAGAGATCTGGGAGGGATGAAATCTCCAATCCGGGGTCCGTGTTTTGAGAAAACCCCCAGCACACTGATTGCACAGGTGTGTGCAGGCCTTTTTATAGAGTCCAAACCATAGTTCTGGGCTCCACCCCGGCAGACGGAGTCAGGAGGGCTCCACCCCGGCAGACGGGAGGTCTCTGCCTTGGAGTCAGGTGGAAGCCCAGACTAGCTGTGTGCTAGTGACATATTTTGGGAAGAGTCTGCAGGAGGCAGACTTAAAAACTGTGTACAAGCCAGGAGGCTGAAAACTGTTAATTTGCTTGATGGTGGATACCCTGCGTGGGAAGCATTGTTACTTGAACTTTCTTAAATAAAAGTGGGGCAAAAAAGCCCTTAAAGAAGCGAGTTGCTGTGTGCTTGGAAGAAGCTCTACCACTTGAAGCGAGTTCCCACAGTACCATATATAGTATCTTGCTGGCAGAAAGAATTGTACCTGAGGTCCAGGAGTGTCATGCTATCCCCACTTGAAAGATGGCACCTCCCAGTATGAATTGAATTATCTTACTCTTAGCAAATGATTAAGCTTGTCTTTGAAACTGGCAAACTTCCCAAACACCTAACACTGAAAGCAACTGTTTTTGCTTGTTGTATAATGTAGAGATAATAAGAAGCATATCTTGGATATGTAAAATACCATGCTTCACAAGGTTTCTTGGATTTGTGCCTGCAAACATTAGGTCATTAAGGACAACTTAACTTACACAATGTGAAGTTAGTTATGCTTCAAAAATCTAGGAACTTCTGCATGATTTGATGTTTGAGCAAACTTCACTTCAGCTGCATTACCTCCACTTTAGTTAATTCATTGTAGAATGTTAAAGATAAAAAAATGCCTTGTTATGTTGGTTGTTTAGACCTGGTAATCTGGTCAAATCCGATGGTGTTATATTGTACGCAATCTTGGGCACTTTTAATTACTACTGGTTGAAGGAAATTAAAATTATCTATAAATAATAAATGTGAACTTCTAAGTTCAGACATTGTTATTTAAATGTAAAGGTAAAAAAATACACAGTCTTCGCTTAGGAGGAATAGTAATTCTATTTTCTGCTTCAGGTATACAATTTTTTCTTAAGTACACTTTTTCTCTACTTGTCTTTTACCAGTCCCTCCCATTCTCTATTTGTTTGCTTTAACTTTCCCTCCTCCTCACCTCCCCCCTTCCCTCCCCCCGCCTTTTTTTTTTTCCTCTCTCTACTCTCTCCTCCTCTCCCACAGGCTTCGGCTATTCCTAGACCAAATTTAAGGGTCTTGCTTGTTGGAATTCTCTTCAAGTGCACAGGTGCTGCCTCTACCATCATGCCTGGCTTGGGCAATCGGAGCCGTCCCCTCACAATTGCAATTGTTATCGCTTAAATGTCAAGGGTCTCAGCTTGCCAGAAAAGCGACCCCCAACTCCTTGCCTCTCTCTCTAAACACAAAGCTCACTTTTTGTTTCTACAAGAAACCTATTTTAGAACAGACTCTATTCCTAGATTATCTAGTAAGTATTACCCACAGGTGTACCAGATACTTACTAACTCCCAGCTAAAAAAAAAGGTGTATGATTTTGATCTCCAAAAATGCTCCTTTTCAAACTTCTGATACCCTTATTGATCCGATTCGCTATATTTCCTAAAAGGCACTTATGCGCACAAACCAATTACTTTAGTGAATGTCTATTGTCCCAATGAACATCAAGTCTCCTTCTTTCGCACTGTTTGAGATCTCCTCTATACCTTTCAAGCAGGGATTCTAGTTATTGGGGGAGATTTCAACGTACCATTGAATCCCTTAGTCGACTCTTCCTCAGGTCATGCAGCCATTCTTTATAGAGCACTACCCAGATTAAGGTGCATTTATATGATTTAGCTTTACATGACACTTGGCGTACACTTTATCCCACAGAAAAGGATTACACCTTTTACTCGACCGCTCACAACAAATATTCCAGAATAGATTATTTTTTTCTTTCACAACGCAACCTCCCCTTATTGTCTCATGCTATGATAGAGCCGATGTTTCTCTCAGACCACCATCCTATCACAATGTCTCTGTCTTTCTCTGAACATGTTCAGCAGACCAAAATTTGGCGACTGCCTGCATCTCTTCTAAAGGATTCTGAGACTGTTTGCAATCTGTCTTCTAGATTACAGGTGTTTTTTGCGAAAAATGATTCACCCGACATTTCCGGGTATCCCTGTGGGAGACTCACAAATGTGTGATTCAGGGTGAATTGCTATCTTTGTTGGCCCAAGCAAAGAAAATCCGCCAAGCTAAAGTTACGGGTCTTACTGACCGTATTCGTGTGCTGGAAAATCTCCATAAACAGTCTTGTGCACGGCAGAGCTTGTTGGAGCTCCGCTCTCTCCTGTTAGAGGAGCTGGACATACAATTGAGACATCGGTATGTATTGGGGCAGAGAGTGTTTTATGAGTATGGAAGCAAAAGTGGGAGACAGCTGGCTAGAGCTAAACAGACAATGAGGTCGTCCCTACAGATACATCACCTTTGAGGGCCTCATGATAAGCTACTCCCCAAAATGAGGAGATAGTACATCAATTTGAAAGCTACTATAGGAGCCTTTATAATTTGCAATCGGAAACACGGGTTACTTCCATTTCCCATACCCAGCACATTAGGAGATTTCTGGCTAAATATGGCCCAAAATCTATTTCTTGTTAAGTAGCTTGCGACCTTAAGCGTAATCTTTCAATGGAAGAACTTATTACTGCCCTGAAACAGATGAAACTCAGGAAGAGTCCCGGTTCTGATGGCCTGACTTTACAGTACTACACGTGCTTCTAGGAGGTACTTGTACCTCGCCGATTGGGGCTGTTTAATTCTCTAGCAGATTCGGCCTCTTTCCCTGAAAGTTTTCTAGAGGCCCATATTACAGTAATCCCCAAGGAAGGAAAGGATGCATCCAGAGTTGAAAGCTATAGGCCAATATCGCTTCTTAATGTTGATTTAAAGCTGTTTGCAAGGATGTTAGCAAATAGATTACTTCTTTTGTTACCCTCCTGGGTGGGGCTGGACCAGGTGGGCATTGTTCCAAGCAGAGAGGCTCGTGATAATACTATTAAAGTCCTCAACCTTCATCATTGGCTTACAACTATCCAAACCCAAGGGTTTTTTCTATCCCTTGATACTGAAAAGGCATTTGATAGGGTTGCATGGCCCTACATGCAGGAAGTTCTCTGAGCAGTCGGGTTGCTCCCCAGGATGGTGGCCAATATTTTGACATTGTACTCCAACCCGACTGCAGGGGTTTGAGCCAATGGGCATTTGTCGGAGGCCTTCCAACCCAATTGCACCCAACAAGGTTGCCCTCTTTCCCTTCTAATTTTTGTTCTAACTCTGGAGCACTCTTTGAATAGAATTCGATCACAACGGATATAAAGGGGTCTTCCTGTAGGAGGTAGGGAATACAAGTTGGCTGCATTTGCTGATGATCTCATGTTGTTTTTGCAGTCACTTCCAGCTCTCTTTGCCTATTTTGCTCCGCGAATTGGAGTTTTTCATACTCTTTCTAATTTGAAGATCAATTAATACCAAATCTTACGCCCTTAATGTCACCTTGCGCAGTCTGTTGTGACCCAGTGTATGGAACACTTCCCGTTTACTTGGCAATGCCACGCTATTACTTATCTGGGTATTCAGATTCCAGCTTCTTTAGCTGAACTCTATGACAGAAATTTTAAATCACTTCTTAATACAATTCAAGGTGATCTTCAATGGTGGTCCAATCTTAATGTTTCATTGTTTGGGAGGGCGGCATTGATTAAAATGAACATACTTTCCAGATTGTTGTACTTGATGCAAACTATTCCCATTGCTCTCCCAAAATTGTTTAAAATATATAAGACAGCTTGCTTACAGTTTATCTGGAAAATCTCGGTGCCCCCGTATTAAGTATTTCCTGCTTACCCTCCCAAAACTGCAAGGGGGTATCGGCCTCCCGGATCATCATACACATTATTTGGCCTGCCAACTAGTTCGTATAGTAGACAGATGTATACATGCTGTGGAGAAAGCATGGGTGAATCTGGAAAGGGATTTGGGTCATCGAAATTTGCGGCTCTTGCCCTGTTCTGAATCACCCACTTATAGGCCATTCACTTAAAAGTTTTCAAGAGGCATATAAGTCCCCACTCTTTTTGTCCAACCCTAATCCTTTAACACCCCTTTGTGGCAATAAGGCTTTTCCTCCAGGGCTTTCAGACACATTTTTAAACTTAGAGTGGCCCCACAGAGATGTTCTGCAATGTCTTCTTTCTTCGGGGGAAATTTGTCTTGCTTGCATATCTTGAGTCAATCTCATCTACAAAGACTTTTTTGTTCTGGACCTACAGACAAATTAAGCATTTTTTTACAACCTACCACTGCAATGCAGCCATGGACTAGGACCCTATGGCCTTGGAATCCCGGTGTACTCGAAAACGTCCCCAATGCCATTTGATTTCGGCAATATATTCTATGTTGTTTGCGTGCTCTTCAACTGTACCGTATAAAGCAAGAGGGTTCACTTAATGTGGCAGTTCAGGAAAATGCCTATAAAGTTAGGATGCAATGGTATAAGACTCAGATTATCCTGCATAAATGCTACCCCTCGGTATCTATCCTT